CGCTGTTAAATCCACTACTTCAAAAGTTATGTTATTTGGTGCACCAATATCATGTTGTGCTTGAGTAGTTAATGGAGCATTTTTTTTCCTACAATTCAGTGCTGTATTTTTGGAAGGAATTATATGTAGCATCCTTGCCAGAGTGGTCTCCTTTTTCCAAAATCCTAGGAGTTGCATCCTCCAAATCCCTTGATTCCAGAATCAAATTAGGCTCATTTCCTAGAGTGTCTATCATTGCTTTCTTCACATTAGGAGCCTGTTTTGACTTGGTTTGTTGTACCCAAATCCCTTTAGATGGCTAGATCAAATCTAGTTGCTTTGATTGAGGCTGAACTTTCCTTGAATAAGAGGTTTCCTTATGAGATATCCCAGAGATCTGATTTTGCTGAGTTTGATTCCCCTTATATTTCTCCCCTATTTCCTTTCTTGTAATATTTTCCCCAAGATCTTGATTCTTATCTTGATTTTCATTCGGCATCCAGGACACTTTCCGTTTTCTACACTTTTCTCCGCCATGGCCTAGCTTCTTGCAGCTCTTGCAGAAATTGCTTGCTGCGTTCATTGATTATTCGTTGCCACCTAGCTCCTTCGTCCCCCATATCAATCCAAATTCTGCTTGGGTTGTTAGCTAAGAGGTTGACTTCTACACAAACTCAGGAGAAGGTTGTCTGGTCATACGCCAACACCTGACCTATAGGTTTTATCGGTAACTCCAGGTATGGTTTTTTGAAAAATTTCAGTGGTATGCCAGGAAACGATATCCAAAGAGGAACAATTGAAGGCTCAATTCCTGGTACAAAACTAGAGAACCACTTACAAAAGCTGAAGAGGTAGTCCTCTATTAGTGTAGCATCCTTAAGCCATGTCTTCACGTAATCTTCATGCAATTAAAATCTTAAGAGTATATGCCTCTGATCAATTGACCCAACCTCAAAATCTCCCTTTAAACTCCATTTAGATCGTATTACTTCCTTGATAACTCCTAGTGAGGGTCTGCCATATGCACACTTACCAATCAAAGAGTATTGGAGGGATTGGCAAGACTTCTGGATTTTTTCATTTGCAAAGTAGAACGATGGTTCACCTTCGTAGAACACTATGGGTTTGTCAAATTTTTCCAACTGTGGATCTTTAGAAGGTTCTTGGATTTGGCGCTTGAATAAAGATGCAAATGATTGTTTTATGTTGGTGGATGAATCTGGGGGTTTTGGTGGAATATGAGGTTGTGTTGGTGATGAACTCATAAGGAAGAAAAATCTAGAGATAAGTCCTAGGAGCCTTCTAATTAATATTCAATTCATCAATTTAACACAAAATTAACATTCAAGTTTCATCCAATTTTAATTCAATTTTATCTAAAAAGCATTTAATTCATTAAATTAACATTCAAATTCAACTTGTTAACATTAAAATAATTAAATTAATGCCAAATTAACATTCAGTTCATCTAATTTTTATTCAAATTTATCCAATCAACACTCAATTAATCAAATTAAAGTCCAAAATTATTTAAGAAATATTCAATTTATCAAATCAACACCATAACAACATGCAATTTCATCCAATTAAAATTTAATTTATCAAATTAACATTCAAATTCATCAAATTAATATTCAATTCATCAAATTAGCACCAAATTAACATTCAATTTTAGCTAATTAACATTTATTTTTTTCTAATAAGCATTTGATTCATTAAATTAATAAATATTCAAATTCAACTAGTTACATCCAAAGAATTGCTGAGAAGGCTCACAAATGCTAAGAAGAAAAGGAAACAAAAAGAGGAAGAGCTAGCTGCCTTAACATTGGCATTGCATAATGTTCCGATTAGGAAAGATTTGCCAAGAATCACTAGGTCCAAATCTAAATCCATGATAGCGTTAAAAATTCCAAAGCAAAACAATAGATATGGATTCAGGCATTAAGGGAGCTAATTTTTGAGGATTTCATGGAGATCTTTCAGACATTAAGGGCGCTGATTTTTAGGGATTTCATGGACCTCATTTAGTCAATCTTTACCAGTTTAAAGGAGTATTTTCAAGGATTATTCACAGAATGATCGTGATATACTGCCCACCAAATCTTGCCTTTTTAATGTGTGATCACATGCAAATGATTGCATGTGATTTGTCCAACGTTGGGAAGATTTTATTCAAAGGGATCATCTCTAGCTCAACATGCAGACAACTGTTTGTTTGGCTATTGCTAGGAGTCCATTCTGTAAAGAGGCAACAACTATCCCACTGTTCATGTTACTGTTCACCTAGAACTACAGTTGGACTGGTTTCGTGGAATTTGCTTTATTTTCTTCAAAGGTCTCCAATTCAACTAGACTACTTTGATAGTTATAGCTAGCTGAGTTCCTACATCAGTTAGTTAAGAAGGCAGCAAGCTTAGGAAATATTTATTATACTAAGCATGCATATTTTGCTTTCTTTCATTTATTTCATTATTCCATGTAACTAGATTTTATTTGAAATTAATAAAACTCTCTCGTGCCGTTGAGGTTCTAAAAAAAATTTCAATTAACACTAAATTCATTGAATTAACTTTTCAAATCAAAAAAATAAAGATTCAGTTTATCAAATTAACACCAAAGTAACATACAATTTCATCTAATTAATTTTCAATTCATCAATTTAACAACAAACTAGCATATTCAATTCATGTTCAAGTATTGCAATCAGGTTCAATAACAGAGGAAGTTAGAGATGAATTGCGAGAACTTCAAGCTACTAGTCAATTGCTTTTGGAGGCAGAGGAAATTAAATGGAAGAAAAGATCTAAGGAATTGTGGCTGAAGGAGGGAGATCGAAACACAAATTTTTTTCACATATGTGCAAGTCTAAGAAGGCAAAGAAATGAAATCAAAGGTTTACGTGATTTGAATGGAATTTGGTGTACAACTAGAGAACAATTGGAGGAAATTTCTGTGAAATATTTTCAAAATTTGTTTACATCCTCTTCTCCAAACGAGGCAGATTTATATGAAGTATTACAAGTTGTACCCAAAGGATTTCTCAGTCCATGAATCATCCCTCATTCAATCCTTCAGTAGGGAGGAAGTGGAGATAGTTATCAAGCAATTTCATCCTTCTAAAGCTCCTGGTCCAGATGGGATGGGTCCAATCTTTTATCAACAATTTTGGGATGTTATTGACGATCAAGTAACTGAGTTGGTTTTAAACTTTTTAAATCATGATAGCTTCAATCACAAGATCAACTATACTCATATTGTTTTAATCCCTAAGATTGTTAACCTACAGGATATGTCTCAGTTTTGTCCAATCAGTCTGTGCAATATTATTTACAATATAATATCAAGGGTTCTTGCTAATCATTTAAGGCGTCTTCTTCTGAATATTATCTCAGAATTTCAAAGTGCATTTGTGCCTTGAAGGTTGATAACGAACAATTTGTTGGTTGCAATTGAATTGAATCATCATATGAAGAGGAAGAGAGTTGGATGCACTGGTGTTATGTCTTTGAAGTTGGAAATGAGCAAAGCTTATGATCGGGTAGAGTGGGGTTTCCTAGAAACTATTATGCACAGGATGGGTTTTGATGCTAGGTGGATCACATTGATCATGACTTGTGTCTCTACAGTTTCATATTCGGTTATACTTAATGGTGAGCAGCTGGGATTTTTTCATCCACAAAGAGGTCTGCGTCAAGGTGATCCATTATCAACTTATCTTTTCCTGTTATATTCTGAAGGTCTTATTGGTTTAGTTCAGAGAGAAGCAGAGTTGGGAGGTATACAGGGTCTGGCAGTTGGTCGCGGTGCTCCAAGTTTTACACATCTTTTATTTGCAGATGATAGTTTATTTTATGCAAGAGCCAACAAATCAAATGCTCAGTGGATTAACAGATGTTTGAAGGTTTATGAAAAGGCATCTGGTCAAACAATTAATTTCTCAAAATCAGAGGTGGTGTTCTCAAATAATACTTGTCTAGCTGACAGACTTGCTGTTTTGAATGAATTGCCTTTGAAAGTGGTTGTTAGTTATGAAAAATATTTGGGTCTTCCTTTAATCATTGGCAAGACAAAGAAACAGATGTTTGATGGTATTAAACAAAGGATATGGAATAAAGTTCAGAGATGGCAAGGAAAGTTGCTATCGCAGGCCGGCAGGAAAGTGTTAATTAAGGCTGTCGTTCAAGCTATACCTACATATGATATGTCTTGTTTTCAGCTTCCATCGGGGTTTTGTTTAGAAATAAATCAATTGATGGTTAGCTTTTGGTGGGGTCATAATACTAAAGTTAAGAAGATTCATTGGTTGTCCTTGCAAAAAATATGTTTACCAAAATCTAGAGGGGGTATGGGTTTTCGGGATGTTGAAGCTTTCAATATGTCCTTATTAGCTAAACAATATTGGAGGCTACTTCAGAATCCTGACTCATTACTTTTAAAAGTTTTGAAAACCAAGTATTTTCCTTCTTTTTCTTTAAGTGAAGGCACCTTGGGGTACAACCCATCTTATTCCTGGCATAGCATACTATCCTCCCAGCGTTTGGGTGAAGTTGGTTCAAGATGGAGGGTTGGAAATGGTAGAAGCATCAATGTAAAGCTCGATAGGCGGATTCCTCAACCAAACACTTTCAGAATTATTACTAAACACCAAACCTTGGGGATGATATTAAGGTTAATCATTTTATTGATAATGCTTCCCGAAGGTGGAATGTGCAATTGCTTAGACAATGGTTCTTGGATTTCGAGGTTCAACATATTTTGTCCATTCCAATTTGTCCATCGCTGCCAGAAGATAGATTAATATGGCATTTTACTAAGTCGGGGAATTTTTTAGTTCATAGTGCTTATCATTTATCCATTGAAAAAATCTGTTTAGATCTTCAGTGGATATTGCATCTTCAAGTAATACAATGGATCGGTGATCTGGATTGTTCATCTGGTCGCTTCATGTGCCAAGCAAGGTCAAAATTTTCCTTTGGCTTTTATTTCTTGATATTTTACCTACTATGTGCATTTGACAGAGAAGGAGATTGATGGTTAAAAATGAGTGCTTTTTATCTGGTGATCCTTGTGAGTCTTCTTTCCATGTGTTCGTTGCTTGCCCCTTTGCGAAAGTTGTTTGGGAAGCTGTTGCAATCCAAGTTCCAACAAAAAGTATGCTGAATATTCAAGAATGGCTTGTTTATGTTTCTGAGAAGCTAACATCTACTGAGGTAGTAATGGTTGCTATTATTTCATGGGCTTTGTGGTTCAATCGAAATAAGGTTCGTGTAGAAAATTGCTCCAGATCTCCGCAGGAAAAGGTCCATTTCTCAAGGGAATATATTCATCATTATCAAGCTGTTAATTGTTTGAGTGGCGATTCTATTGCTCCAATTGCTTCTAATATAAGGACTATATGGACACAACCTCAAATAGCTGTTTGCAAAGTAAATATTGATGGGGCCATTTTTCACTCATTGCAATGTTCTGGCGTTGGTGTTGTTTTTAGGGATTGTTGTGGGCATTTTTTTGGCTAGTTTAAGTCAAAAAGTAGAAGGAATCTTAATTGCAGTGTCTATTGAAGCAATGGCCGCTTCTATTTCTGTGTAGTTAGCAGGTGATCTTGGATTTACCAACATTATACTGGAGGGTGATTCTAAGTCTTTCATTGAAGCTTTATCATAGAAGCATGAGTCATTATCTGAAGTGGGTAATTTTATAGATCAAATCAATAAGTTAAAGTTTAATTTTCAAGGTTTCTTAGCAGTTTGGATAAGCAGAAAGGGAAATGTAGTTGCTCATAGTTTAGCCAAATATTCTATTAATTGTAATACTTCTATGCTTTGGAGAGATGAGATTATGTCTTTTTTGTTATCTCATCTCCACAAGGATGTATCTTGTGTTGTTTAGTAAATATATATGAATATCGTTATTTCTCAAAAAAAATATATATATATTCATCAAATTGACACAAAATTAACATTCAATGTTATCCAATAAGCATTTAATTCCTTAAATTAACAATCAAATTCAACAAGTTAATATTAAATTAATCAAATTATCACCAAATTAACATTAAATTCATCTAATTTACATTCAATTTCATCCAATTAACACTCAATTAATCAAATTAACATCTAAAATTATTTAAAAAATATTTAATTTATCAAATCAACACCAAAGTAGCATATAATTTCATCCAATTAAAATTTAATTTATAAAATTAACATTCAATTCATCAAAATAATATTCAATTCATCAAATTAACACCAAATTAACATTCAATTTTATCTAATTAACATTCAATTTTTTTAATAAGGATTAATTGTAACACCCCACCTTCCACATGACATAATATTGTCCGCTTTGAACCCACTGGCCCTCACGGCTTTGTTCCTCCCAGTACTCTTGGGAAAAGGCTTTATGTCATGTAAGGCGAGAGGGGCTTACTAATAAGCCGATCAACTTTTCCCTCCCTAACAGATGTGGCACACCAGGATCTCACAATCCACCCCCCTTCGGGCTGCATGGCTACCTACTCGCCCACATGCACGCGAGCACGACAGGGGCCCACACTTGATCTAGGTGAGGGTCAACTCTGATACCACTTGTAACACCCCACCCTCCACATGATATAATATTGTCCGCTTTGGGCCCACTGACCCTTACGGCTTTGTTCCTCCCAGTACCCTTGGGAAAATGTCTTGTGCCATGTAAGGCGAGAGGCTTACTAATAAGCCCAACAATTTTTTCCTCCCTAACCGATGTGTTAAATTAATTTATTAAATTAACATTCAAATTCAACTAATTAACATTAAATTAATCAAACAAACTTTTAATTTCATTCAGTTAACACTCAATTCATTGAATTAACTTTCCAAATCAAACAATAAAGATTCAATTTATCAAATCAACACCAAAGTAACATACAATTTCATCTAATTAATATTCAATTCATCAATTTAACACTAAATTAACATTCAATTTTATCTAGTAAGCATTTAATTCATTAAATTCACAATCAAATTCAACAAGTTAATATTAAATTAATCAAATTAACCGCAAATTAACATTGAATTTATCTAATTTACATTCAAATTCATCCAATTAACACTCAATTAATCAAATTAACATGTAAAATTATTTTAAAAAACTCAATTTATTAAATCAACAACAAAGTAGTAGATAATTTCATCCAATTAAAATTTAACTTATCAAATTAACACCAAATTAGCATTAAATCTATCAAATTAGCATTCAATTTCATCTAATTAACATTCAATTTTTTTAATAAACATTTAATTCATTAAATTAACATTCAAATTCAACTAGTTAACATTAAATTAATCAAACAAACTTTTAATTTCATTCAATTAACACTCAATTCATTGAATTAACTTTCCAAATCAAACAATAAAGATTTAATTTACCAAATTAACACCAAATAACATATAATTTCATCTAATTAATATTCGATTCATCAATTTAACACCAAAGTAACATGTTAAAGTGATATCAATTTTCAATTTTCTAATTGATACTTTAGATATGAAAATGATAAAATATCCATAATTTAGGAATAAAAGTGTATTAAACTATTTTAGAAAATCAGGATCGGATGAAATTAAATATTAATATTATAAATTTAATATTAGTTGGAAGAAACTAAATGTTAATTTTATATTTAATGTTAAATAGTTGAAATTGAATATTAATTTATTGAATTTAATGTTAATTTTGTTTTGATTTGAAGAATTAAATGGTCATTAGATAAATTTGCTTGTTAATTTAGTGTTGATTTGATAAATTGAATGTTATAAACGCAAATTGAATACTTTAGGGGTCAAATTGATACTTTAGGAATAAAATTGACAAAACCTCCACACTTTATGGATAAAAGTGTTATTATTGGACTGTTGTAGATATTAATTTGATGAATTGGACGTTAATTGAATGAATTTGAATATAAATTGGATGAAATGAATGCTAATTTGGTGTTAATTTGATGGAATATGTGTTAATTTGATGAAATTAAATGTTAATTTGATAAATCTTAATGTTAATTAATTGAATTTAAATGTTGATTTGATAAATTGAATTTTTATTAGATGAAATTGAATGTTGATTTGGTAATAATTTGATAAATTGAATATTAGTTGGATAAAATTGCATGTTAATTTGATGTTGATTTGAAAAAAAAAAATCTTTATTAATTCGAATGTTAATTAAATGAATTGAGTGTTAACTGGATGAATTTGAATGAATTGAATATTAATGTGATGTTCATTTGATGAATTGGGTGTTAATTGGATGATATTAAATGTTAATTTGATGAATTTAATATTAATTTGTTGAACTTTAATTTTAATTTGATGAATTGAATGTGTTAATGTGAAGTCAATTTGTTAATTAAATACTTTAGAGATAAAACTGACAAAATTAATACTTTAGATATGAGACTATAAGATATCTATAATTTAGGGATAAAAGTGTATTAACCAATTTTAGAAAATTAGGATGTGTAATGTGTGATCCTGATTTTCTAAAACCGATCCTGATTTTGAAAAATGGGTTAATATACTTGTACTCCTAAAATATGCATATTTTGTCAATTTATACCTAAAATCTTTAAATTTTCAATTTTATTTTGAAAATATTCAAGTAATATGCAATTCGGAAAATTGACGTCACATTACCTTTCAAATTCATCCAATTAACATTCAATTCATCGAATCAATATTCAAAAAATCTAATTAACACTCAATTCATCAAATTAATACAAAATTGAATACTTTAGGGGCCAAAAAGATAAAATATGTATATTTTAATGATAAAAAAGTTATTAACTAATTTTAGGAATAAATTTGTAAAATAGTTTTACCACTGTTTGTATAAGTTTATCACTTTGTTTTTTTTTGCAAATCAGGATTTCTCTTAATTGTCCTACCGATCAAAAGCTTACCAATCAACCATAGCGATTGTAGCTAAAATTAGGACCAGTCCTATGGCATGTTTAGCGATCAACCATCTAACTTAAATCATGACCGATATTAGTTGTCTAAGTGATCAAGATTATCCAATTAAGATTTGGGGCAAGTTATCACTTTGGGGTAAGTTAATACTTTTTAGGGTAAGTTACCAATATTGTGGTGGTAAGTTATCACTGTTTGGGGGTAAGGTACCCCTTTCTGAGGGTAAATTACCGCTTTTTTGGGGTAAAATATCACTTTTAGGGAATAAATTACCACTTTTTATAGGTAAGTTGCAACTATTTGGGGATAAAGTACTACTTTTTTGGGGGGTAAGGTACTACTTTGTGCGGATAAGTTACCACTTTGAGGGGGTAAGTTATCATTTTTTTGGGGGTAAGGTACAACTGGGTTGGGTTCGCAATCTAGCATAATGAGTGTTATTCCATCATGTTTCATTAATGCTAAGTGCTCGGGCAATTGGATTTTCTCTCGAGACCCTACCGAGCATTGATGGTTTGATCCCCGTTCATCGAGTGCTCTACATAGACACTTAGAGCCCATGACCGAGCTTTTACGAGAAGGAACTAGATCCCCTTGGAAGCCCCCGAGGGCTCTCCCTCGGTCTAGTAGCCATTAATGCCTTGTAATGATGACTGCTTTCTTGTTCTTTGAGGATTAGACAGTTATTAATAGTCTGTTATACTAGCATGACCCACATTAATGAGTTTTCATACCTCATTCAATGCTAGATTTTGAGTATCATACTTGCAAGGCTCCTCCTTCTAGCAAATTTTACACATTCTGAAAGTTGTGGGTATCCACTTGTGCAGTTCTTTTTGGCATGCCACCTAATGTCCCGTCAAGTGCCCCCTAACATCCATTTTCCTAGCGTCATGGGACAGATGACAAATGAAGAGTGGAGGCTTCTTTTGTACGCTTGGTTTTTTGAGACGGTAACTTGCACCTTGCCCTTCCAGGCTCTGCTCCACTGGCAATGTCTGCTATGAATTGCACTAAACCCCATCTAATTGGTCTATGGAATGAGATTTTGTGATTGTGGGGGGAATGTCAGCTTCCACATTTCTCACGCTTAGGCTACCCCTTATCTCACCTTGAGATCGAGTGTTCACCATGCTTGTGTTGCTAAAGGAAAATCTAATTCAATAACCTTCCCATAGAGACGTCAAATTGTATGGGGCAAATCCTGTAATGGGTTAAGATAGCGATCGTCTGAGTGATTTTGAATGGGGAACTGAAATGGAAGAAGAATCAGGAAAGGGGCCGGGTGAACACCCAATTAATCCCCTCCGATGTTTAAGTTAGTCGGTGTTTGAGTAAAAATGCATGGG